ACCCATCAGAATTCTAGAGGAGAACAGAAGCAGCAACTTCTTTGACCTTGGCCATAACAGTCTTACTAGACAAGTCACCAGAGCTAAGGGAAACAAAAGCAAAAATGAATTATTGGGACTTTCATGATAAAAAGCACAATAAAGGAAATCATCAACAAAACTAAAAGGCAACCTACAGAATGGAAGAAGATATTTGCCAATGACATATCTGATAAAGGGTAGTATACAAAATCCGGAAAGAAATTAGCAAACTCAACACCCCCCCCCTCCAATAATCCAGTGAAGAAATGGGCAGAATATATGGATGCTTTTCCAGAGAAGACATCCAGATGTCCAACAGACACATGAAAAGATGTCCGACATCACTCATCATCAGGGAAACACAAATTACAATGTGATTTGTATCATCTCACACCTTTCAGAATGGCTAAAATTAACACAAGAAACAACAGGTATTGGTGAGGATACAGAGAAATGGGAACCCTCTTGGTGGGAATGCAAACTTGTGCAGCCACTCTGGAGAACAGTATGGAGGTTCCTCAAAAAACTGAAAATAGAACTACCCTATGATCCAGCAATTGCAGTATTAGGCATTTACCCAAAGAATACAAAAATACAGATTCAGAGGGGTACATGAACACCAGTGTTTATAGCAGCATTATCAACAATAGTCAAACTATGGAGAGAGCCCAAATGTCCATCGACTAGTGAATGGATAAAGAAAGTGTGGTATTATACACACACACACACACACACACACACGCATGCGCGCACAATGGAATATTACTCAACCATCAGAAAGAATGAATTTTGCCTTTTGCAATGATGTGGATGGAACTAGAATATATTATGCTAAGCAAAAAAAGTTAATCAGAGAAAGACAAATACCATGTGGTATCACTCATATGTGGAATTTAAGAAACAAAACAGATGAACATACAGGGTTGGGGCAGGAGAAAAGAGAGGGTAACAAATCACAAGAGACTCTTAATGACAGAATAAACTGAGGGTTGATGGAGGGAGGCAGTTGGGGGATGGGCTAGATGAGTGATGGGTACTAAGGAGGGCACTTGTCATGATGAGCTCTCACTGTTGTATGTAAGTGATAAATCACTGATTCTACTCTTGAAACCAATATTGTAAGGTAAACTAAAATTCAAATTAAAAAAAATATGTGAATAAGGATGGCAATAAAATGCTTTTAAAAGAAAGAGCGCTCAACCAACTGAGCCACGTAGTCACCTTGAGGCAATTTTCCTCTCAAGATTTAGACCTTCTTACATGACTTACCAAGATTCCCTTAATAATTATTACTCCCATTTAACAGTCATATTTGTCTGAATATTGTTATTATGCTGTGTATCTCCAGGTACCTAGATAACAAACATGTGATCTTGAATGGTCTAAGCAAAGGATTTCAAACTGGAATCCAAAGAGAGAAATTAGAGGGTCTGTGACCTTGGGTAAGGGGAAAGGACCTATCTCTCATGTGTATTTTTACTCCCTTCTGACTTAAATTGAGTATTTCCTTCTGTTCTGAACGTAGGCAAAACCTGTTATCATTGTTACATTCCCAGCATCTGATATAATGCCTGGCAGGGATGCTCAGTAAATACTGTAGAGAAAAGAAAGGAAAGGGTGGAGGCAGGGTGGTTGGAATATCCCAAGATGGTGGATACAAATACTCACTTTCTACTCAGTCCTCCTTTACCTTCACCAGTAATAGTATATTCAGAAAATAACCTTACCTCCTACTTGGGTAGCACTTTAGTGTTTCAAACTGTGTCATGTTTAATTTGTTCTCCTTAATCATCTTGTGAGATAAGAAGGATAGGTACTGTTCTCTCCGCTTTACACGTAAGAAACTGAGGCTCGGTGAAGCTAAAATGTTTTGCCTGTGGCCCCACAGCCATTAAGCGTCAGAGCCAAGGTACACATCCATGCATGCTCTTTCCGTCTGATCAAATCTCCCGTGAGATGATCGCCATGCATCAGCTGTCGAGTCTTCATAGTCTTCCTAAACAAAACGGGAGGCGGTGACTCCATTGTACCAGGAGCTCTGGAGGTCGTTCCTCCAAGTCTGAATTCTGCAGACCAATATGCTAACCTTACATAGCGTGACCAGGTGGATTCAGGAGGGGCTTGGAAAGAAGAAGGATTCAAGCTGGCTCTCCTACCTAACATAGGTGACGTTGGTCAGGTTACTTATCCTCTTGGAGTCTTGGTTTCCTGATCTGTAAAATGAGGCTGGCAATACCCACCTTACAAATTCTTGTAGGAAATAAAGGACGTAGAAAATGCAAATGAAAATCTCCAGCTCGGGCACTGGCACATAATAAATGCTAAGTAAGTGATTAAAAAAAAGTATTTATTCCTTTCCAAACCAAAAGCCTTCAGAAGCTCTGATTCCAGTGATACAAGGCTTTGATCCTGTGAACCTCCTTTGGTGTCCATGGACCCTGCAGCCTCATTTAACTCACTCTCTTAAAGTCTGAACTTGTGAAGTAGGAAAATTCAAGCTCGGCTTGAAGTCTGTTCAGTATGTTGGTGCCTGGGGCCAATGAGAATTCACCTTCCTTCCATTGAAGCAACTTCAAAGTGCCCTCTTCTAATTCTCTCTCTCTCTCTCTCTCTCTCTCTCTCTCTCTCTTTAATGTTTATTAACTTTTGAGAGAGAGAGGGAGCACAAGCTGGGGAGGGGCAGAGACGGAAGGGGACAGAGGATCTGTGCTGACAGCAGAGAGCCTGATGTGGGGCTTGGAACTTGTGAACCGTGAGATCATGACCTGATCCAAAGTCAGATGCCTAACTGACTGAGCCACCCAGGCGCCCCTCATTTTCTCTTTTATGAGGTCAAAATTGCTTATTTCTATTTCAGTCCTGGCCATTGTTAAATTGTGTTGATTCCAGCATTAATGTCATGCCAACAATGACACAGGCATGTAAGATTACTATAAACATAGCTGAACATTAAAATATTAAAAATGGCTACATTTTATTTTTATACATATATCTTGAAATGGAATGTTTAAATGCTATTTCAGAGACAAATTTTATAGTTGGAAGAGACAAGACAATATCTAGTCCAATTCTTTGAATTTAAAAATAAGGAAGCACTTTGGAGCTGTTTTTTTTCTGTAAATCTATTTTTTTCCAAAAAGATCACACAGTCACTAATATGTTTCTCTTATATCTGTTTTGTTTATTTAAAATCATAAATTTGTGGAGAACAGGACTCTTTGATCAAGAGACAAAGCTTTTCTGTTTCCTATTTGGGGAGAATATAATGGAAATTACCTCCTAGTTCCCAGGCTCTGCCTGCCTGATTTTCAGTTTGCCACACTGTATTGTCTTTCTGAAACCAAGTGAGAGGGGCACCTGAGTGGCTTAGTTGGTTGAGCATCTGACTTTTAGCTCAGGTCATGATCTCACAGTTCATGAGTTTGAGCCCCACATTGGGCTCTGGGCTGATAGCCTGGAGCCTGCTTCAGATTCTCTCTTTCCCTCTCTGTCTGCCCCCTTCTGTGCTCACGCTCTGTCTCTGTCTCTGCCTCTTTCTCTCTCTCTCTCTCTCAAAAATAAATCAACATTTTAAAAAAGTCATTTAAAAAAATAAAAATAAAACCAAGTGAGAAATAACATGAAAGCAATAACTAATATGCTTCATTTAAGCATTTCCGGTAAATGGCTAACATTTTAAATAATTTCACACTAAATTCTTTCCTTTTTTCTTACAACATTCCCTATGTTGGTTATAGTTCATTTATTTTATCAGATTGCTTTCATAATTTTATCACACTCATTTCAATGCTAAAATAAAATAGTAAAATTTAATAGCAAGATGTCAGATACTACATTACTATTACAAACTGAAGAGACTGAGGGACACCTCTCCTGACCCACAGGAAAAAGTAAAACCCTTGAAGATCAAGAGAAACTAGAAACTTCACTCACTAGATTTAGAAACTAAGAAACTAGATTTAGGTTCACTCAGTAATTTCAAAAATACATATATTAAATATACTTAATGTCATACTATGATAGATGTGGGATCAAAGACTGCTTTGGTCACCACTATTTTTTTCCAGGGCTGTGAATTTCAGAGGATTCACCCCCTTTTTTTTTTTTTTCCACACATTTGCCTTTGATATAGTGATTAACTGTGGTGAGGACATTAACTGATCTTTATTCTCAAAGCTCCTGGGGATCAGATCTGCCCTGATCTGCAGACTCTCTGAAGAAAGGTACTGCAGTGTTTATCCCTGGATCACGGTGATATTAATCACAACAGTATTGTTTCAAAGTCTAAGTCAGTCAGTATACTACAAAAAGAGAAGGGGCGGTTTACTAAGCAGCTGTTATTTGCTCTGGAATAGAAAACCCACAGAATTTTGGAGTTGAAAAGGATGTTAGATCATCCTAGGATAACTTTCATTTCAACCTTGAGGAAAAAAGCTTAGAGAAGTAAACTCCAGCATTTACAAACGTGTGTGAAAATTGTGTGTGTGTGTGTGTGTGTGTGTGTGTGTGTGTGTGTGTGTGTTAAGTGTGTGAGTGATATTTGTGCACAGCCTACTAACTAGCTATAATCTCTATTTAGGGAAATAAACTTAGAAGTCTAGCTAGAAATTGGGGTTAACAAATGGGAAATTCCCTCAGAAATGAGGGTTATCCAGTATGAACGTGGTTTACAAGAAAGCTGGTGTATATTTTACCAGGAGAAAGTTGGATCGTGATAGAGCCCTGTCATTCTAGGAGTTTATGGATTTTTAAATACCTGAACTGTTTTAAACCCACACAAAATGTTGACTTAGATACTTGGTTTCCAGGCATAACCCAGACATTGTTCCTGGTCTCAAGGACCTTCCACACTAAAGCTTTTGTTTACAATTGATGGTATAGAAAAAAGTAACTTCAGTATAGAGACACCTATCCAATAATTGATAAGACAAAATAACCATGAAATGGTAGCATTACGTATATATATTTTTTTCTTTCAGGTCAAACACTATTCAAGGTAGTAATCAAATCTCTTTCACCTAAAGAGTTAGTCCGGATTCACGTCCCCAAACCTTTGGACAGGAATGACGGGACATTTTTGGTGCGATATAGGATGTATGAAACTGTCAGTGAAGGGCTGAAGATAGAGATCCTTTATGGTGATGAACATGTGGCTCAGTCTCCCTATATTTTGAAAGGTAAGTGATTATTATACAGTGCAGAGCCAGCCTTATATGTGTAGACCCCATGCGTTTCAAAATGGGTTATGATGACCTTGAAGTCATGTACAACAGAGTAAACATTGTATGCGTACCTCCTGGGGCTCATTTTAAGTAATTCCATGTCTAATGGGGGGCTTGAACTCACGACTCCAAGACCAAGAGTTGCATGCTCTAAGCTGGCCAGGAGCCCCTCCTGGAGCTCAATTTAACTTGGAATTTTGAGGGATGGAAAACTAGGTAAAGAAATTTAAATGATAAGCAACAAAATCTTGTGTATGTATCGAGGTAGTTAACATTTCCGACACTCTTCATTCTTTGGCATATCTGTATTTCCATCTAGTACCATTTGCCTTCGGCTAAAGGATTCCTGTTAACGTTTCTTTTAGTGTGAGAATGTTGGTGATGAGTTCTTCCAGCTTTTGTGTGTCTGAAAAAGTCTATATTTTGCCTTCATTTTTGAGAGACATCTTTGTTAAATATAGAATAGTTTAACAGGTTTTTTTCTTCCTTTTAATACTTTAAAGATGTTGTTCCACTGTCTTCTTGCTTGCATTGTTTCCAGCAGTAAATCTGCTGACATCTGTCTCTGTCCCTCCATCCTGCTGAAGGTTTTCTCTCTCATGGCTCTTAAACAATTTGATTATTATGTGCTTTGGTGTAGTTTTCTTCATGTTTCTTGTGTTTGGGTTTGTGGAGCATCTTAGATCTTTGGGATTATAGATTTCACTAAATCCAGAAAAGTTTTGGCAATGATTTCTTCAATACTTTTTCTGTTCTACTCCAGAATTCCACCAAGAATTAGTTACCCCTATATCAGACTTGAAATTATCCCAGAACACACTGATGCCCCTTTCATTTTTAAAATTCTTTTTTTTTCTCCATTTCATTTTGTCTACTTTCTTTTTTTTTAAATTTTTTTTAATGTTTATTTATTTTTGAGAGAGAAAGAGACTGAGTGTGAGCGGAGGAGGGGCAGAGAGAGAGGGGGACACAGAATCTGAAGCAGGCTCCAGACTCTGAGCTGTCAGCACAGAGCCCGACGTGGGGCTTGAACTCACAAACCAGGAGATCATGACCTGAGCCAAAGTCGGATGGTTAACTGACTGAGCCACCCAGACGTCCCTCATTGTGTCTACTTTCTATTGCTACGTCATTAAGTTCACTAATCTTTTCTTCTGCAGTGTCCAATTTGTCATTAATTATATCCAGTCTGTTTTTCATCTCTTGGCACTTCCTCATCTTCTTGAGCTTTTTTCTAGAATGCAGTTAAGTTATTTGGAAATAGCTTGAATTTTTGAAATTTTGCTTTTACACTTTGTTAGGTGAGACCAGAGCCGCATTTGGCTATGGCTTTTTTCCCCCAGCACTCAGGTAATATCTCTCTGCCTGGTCTACCCAAGCCTCAGAAATAAGGATACTTTCCAGTCTGCCTTGTGTGAACAGACACTATTTCCAACCCTCTATGACCAGTGGGTCCTACTGTTGCCTCTAATCATTCTGACTCATTCTTTCCCTGCCTTGGATCCTTTCCTCACTTATATACACACTTCAGAAACCCTAAATACTTGAGGGGGAACCTTTTGCAGATCTCTGGAGTTTTCTTTCTGCATGGTTCTCCCCTTTCATAGACTATGCCCTATAAATTCTAGCTGCCTTGTTCTCCCTGGACACTCTGCTCTGTCCCCTCAACTCAGTGAGATTGCTGGGCTCAACCTATATTTCTCCCCCTGTTTCCATAACCTAGAATCTCCCTTCAGCAGTAACCTTAGGAATTATAGGGTTTACCTCATCTGCTTCCTATTTCTCAGACTCAGTGTCCTTTACTGCCTCATGTCTGGTGGCTTAAAAAACTGTTTCATGTATTTTGCCTGTTTCTTGATAGTTTCAGTGGTAAATCCATATTACTCACCTTGGTCAGAAGTAGAAATAGTCAAGAAACACAATCGTTTGTTAGAAGTTTTTATGTTAAGTTAAATATAAATATATTTTGAAGTAAAATATAAAATTTGTATAAAGTTCTTTTAAAATGAATCCTCAGAGAAGTTTTATACTTATGGCTGGGTATAAAATTTAAATTCTTTTTTAAAAATTACACTGCTGGGGGGGGGGTACCTGCATGGGTCAGTTGGTTAAGCATCTGACTCTGGATTTTGGCTCACATTATGATCTCGTGGTTTGTGAGTTTGAGCCCTGCGTCTCGCTCTAAATGAACAGTGCAGAGCCTACTTGGGATTCCCTCTCTCTCTGCCGCTCCACTGCTTGTGCTCCATCTCTCTCTTTCAAAATAAATAAATAAACTTTAAAAAAGAAAACAAAGAAGAAAATTACACTGCCAGAAACCCCTGGGTTGCATATTTCTTCTCTGAGATGTGTTGACGGAAATGATTTTAGAGATTCAGAGATTTAGAGATTCTCCATCTTGTCTTTTAAAAAGTCACCACTCCTACTATATAATAATGCCTCAAAAGTAATATGCCTCTTTTTCTTTGCTAAAAGGTGTTGTTTTATGTTCTCCAGGCACTTATAACGCACTAGAACTGAATTCAGCAGCTAGTTGGCTGAGAGTGGGTGATATGGGGAGAGAGCATATGCTCTGTAGGTCGTCTAGAGGCGTACAAGACGGGGATGGAAAATGGAAGCATGGGACTCTGACATAACTGCTTTCACCACTGATTTGTTTAGGGCAGATTATCCCCATCTGGATAATCTTAGCATTCACCAGGAAATCATCCCACGCTCATATCAGGGGCAGAAACAACTCGCTGTGTTGTGGTGCTTGTTAATGGAGCATGGCATTACACATGTTTTGCCTTCCCTAGGACCAGTGTACCATGAGTACTGTGAGTGTCCAGAAGAGGATCCTCAGGCCTGGCAAAAAACTCTGTCTTGTCCAACCAAGGAACCACAGATTGCAAAAGATTTCGCTTCTTTCCCCAGCATCAATCTCCAGCAGATGTTAAATGAAGTTCCGAAAAGGTTTGGGGATGAAAGGGGTGCCATTGTCCATTACACGGTTCTCAACAACCACATCTACCGGAGATCTTTAGGGAAATACACAGACTTCAAAATGTTCTCAGATGAGATTTTGCTGTCACTGGCAAGAAAGGTATGAGAGCATGAACTCATTGGTTCTAAAAACAATGTATAGTTGACCCTTAAACAACATGGGTTTGAACTGCGTGGGTCCACTTATACGTGGATTTTTTTAAAAATAAATACAGTACAGTACTCTAAGTGTATTTTCTCCTCCTTATGACTTTCCTAATGGCAGTTTATTTTCTCTAGCTTACTTTATTGGAAGAACACAGTATATAATATAACATACAAAGTATGTGTTAATCAATAGCTATGTCATCGGTAAGACTTCCAGTTAACAGTAGGCTATTGGTTGTTAAGTGTCGGGGGAGTCTAATCTTATACACAGAATTTAGGTTGTGTGGGGATTGGCACCTCTAACCCCTGCATTGCTCAAGGGTCAACTGTAGTTTAATTATGTAGTTGTAACATTGCGATGCCTGGAATAACAGTGGCAAAGGATAGAAATGGCTTCTGGCCTTGCAAATGTGTAGCGAGATGTCCACCACCTGAGTGTCCATCAGTTCTCCCCTTTTATGGATCTTTCTTTCCTTTAATATTTAAATTAAATGGCTTGAGCCCCCATCCCAGGTAAGTAGGCCCTGCATAAAACTCCCAACGCTTTCGTGGACTCCCAAACATTTTTAGCCCCAAGGTCACTTCTTGTAGTTCTCCCTCCATTCAGATTTCACTTTCTGCAGCTCTTTTGTTTCTTATTACCTCAAAATGACTTGAACTTAGACCACTTTTCCTTGTTTTATCCTAACCATCTCGAAAAGATAGTATGCATGGCATGTTTTGTTGATGGTTCTAGTAACAGAGAGGTTATTTTGTACCATTGTGTAGTAAAAGCCAACCAAACAAAAATGCTAACATTTAAAAATAGACATCCCTGGGGGCACCTGGTGGCCCAGTTGGTTAAGAGACTCTTGGTTTCGGCTCAGGTCATGATCTCGTGGTTGGTGAGTTCAAGCCCTGTGTCGGACTCAGCACTGACAGTGAGAGCCTGCTTGGGATTCTCTATCTCCCTGTCTCTGCCCCTCTCCCACTCATGCTCACTCTCTCTTTCAAAATAAGTAAGTAAACTTCAAACAAACAAACAAACAAAGAAATAAAAATAGACATGCCTATATAATCAGACTCAGTCATCCTTGCCTCCAGGAATTTCTCACTGGCTGTCGTTGATGTTCAGCTCTTGGCTTCTTAGTAGAATATGCTTGGGCCTCTATCTTTCAGAAGACTTCTCAACTCCTCCCCCACCCCCACTCCCCTCTACTCGACCCTTCTTTCCACACCTGCAAAACTCTCAAGCAGAGCAGTTCAAATTGCCTTTTGTTCCTCCTCCTTCCTGACCATGCAGAGCGAAGGGTGAGGATGGGAGTTTTTCTGCCTTTCCCACTCAAGATTGTCAAGGTAGTTGTCTAAACCAAAAGCCAACTTGGGTGATACAAGTTCCACACTTTCCCAAGTGTGCTGAATGTGTGGCTGCAGTCACTTCTTATTTTATCTTATTTTTTTAATGTGTATTTATTTTTGAGACAGAGAGCATGAACGGGGTAGGGTCAGAGAGAGAGGGAGATACAGACTCCGAAGCAGGCTCCAGTCTCTGAGCTGTCAGCACAGAGCCCGACGTGGGGCTTGAACTCACGGACCGTGAGATCATGACCTGAGCCGAAGTCAGATGGTTAACCGACTGAGCCTCCCAGGTGCCCCAGTCACTTCTTATTTTAAATAGCAGCCTCCTCCCCGCTCCGCACTCGCCCACGGTATGAGCGCATCGCAGGTACCTGATCACAAAGGTGGTCCTTTCTTCCTGGCCTACTGCCCACCAGTCCACCCTGCCCTGTGTCCTACCTTGTACTCATGTTGCTGCCCCTAGAGCAGTGGTTTTTCCTAGTGATTAATTTGCCCCTTAGAGGACATTTGGAAAAGTCTCGAGATAGTTTCGGTTGCCACAACTTGGGGGTTGCAACTAACATCTAGTGGGTGGAGACCATGGATACTAGTCAAGATCTTACAATGCACAGAACTGCCTACAGCAAACAACTACCCAGACCAAAATGTCAATACTGCTGAGATGAAGAAACCCCGTTCTATAGTGAGAACTTCTGGTATGGAGTTTGTTGTTGTTGTTGTTTTGTGTTTTGTGTGTTTTTGTTTGTTTTAGGTTTTTTTGGTTTATTTTATTATTTATTTATTTATTTATTTATTTATTTATTTATTTAGGTGTGGAGTTTATTAATGAGTTTATAAACAATAGTGGGGAAGCATGAGGTTGAGTAGTCCCATCCCTGGCCCTTCTCTCTTGTTTTGTTATTTGGAAGTTGGAGTGGTGTATGGATATAAACAAATTGTACTTCATCATGGTAGCTTGTAAGGAAAGTAGGTGCCCAGGGTGAAAATGACTGAGGAGGGGGAGTCATAGAGGAGGTAACATCAGGTCTGAGTTTGAAGGATGAGAAAGGAGACCACCAAGTGAATAAGGAGGAGAAGAATATTCCAAGTGGGAAGGGAATTGCATAGGAGAGTGGCTGGCGTTTTCAGAGAGCAGCCCGAAGTTGACCGGCACCTTCTCGGGTGGAAGGTGAGGCTTATAGCTTAGCTGGAACGAGATAACAGGCCTTGCCTTCTAGCCAGACAGTTTACACCTTGTCCTGTAGGCTTAAGGTTCTCTTAAGCTTCTAGTAACATGAATTTGGGTTTTAGACATTTAGGCAGCAAAGTGAGAGCTAATCAGAGTGGGGAGAGCCTCAAGCAGAACACCTAGTGAGGAAGCTACTGCACCAATCTAGGCAAGAGATGGGAAGAGCCCAAACCAAGGCATTGACCGCGGAGATGGCCACGGAGTGGCAGATTCCGGAAGCAAAGGTAGACGTGACATGGAGGTTTGATACTCAAGGAAAACAAGAGCTTGGGTCTAACCTTGTCAATTTTTTAGTAGGCAGCTGGCAGAAAGAGTTCTTGAAGCCCTTTATTTGTACTGTTCTATACCATGTCCACTGCTAGCACAGTAAGCAATTTTGATAATTTATATTTTTATTAAGTAATCTCTATGCCCAACATGGGGCTCAACCTCACGACCCCAAGATCAAGAGTCACACGCTCCACCGACTGAGCCAGCCTGGTGCCCTGATACTAAGCGATTTGAAACACCATCTCTGGACAGAAGGAGCTTACTCCTGGTTACATGAATTTGCCATCTACCATCCTCACCCTTGATTTTCTGGTACCGCTGATGACTGACAGGCAATTTTCTCGCCTCTACTGTTTCCAAATGTTCACTTTTGCCAGACATATTTTAAAAAGCCAAAGAACAGAAGCATTTAGTACCCAAAACTGAGGTCTTTGCAGAACTGATGTTTCATCTTTTGTTTATTTAGGTCCTTCTCCCCGATATAGAATTTTATATTAATCTTGGAGATTGGCCTCTGGAGCATCGAAAAGTCAATGAAACCCCTGGCCCTTTGCCTATCATTTCGTGGTGTGGCTCCCTGGATTCACGAGACATTATCCTTCCAACATATGACATCTCCCACTCCACACTGGAAGCATTGAGGGGTGTCACAAATGATCTCCTCTCTATTCAGGGAAATACAGGTAAATAGAAGTTTGTTCTCGAAGACAGAGGTAAAAGGGAGTGTTCAACCAGAGAGAATAAAGGTATATATTTAAATAACCATCATTGTTCTTTTCTAACCAAGAAAAAAGGGCAGTGTAGGTTCCTCTAATCCAAAACTTAGATGTATGGGTTGGACTAGTAAAATCCAGACCTGCCGTAACTGGGTCTCCTTTGAGTTGGTCCTTTGTAAATACCATTTGAAAATATATATTTGGTAAAATCGTCACTTAATTCTGACTCCAGTGCCTTTATATTGCTGGATGGAGCCAGAAAGCATTTTGAAAAATATAAAATTATATGTGGATGTAAGAGAATTGTTATAGCAGTGTTATTTGGATATTACTCCCTCCATCATGTAGTGAGGAATTTTCTCATTTCTTCCTTCTGCCTTACTTGATCCTTTAAAACCTGAATTCTTTCTACCCCTCCCCCACTCCCATTTGATGGCCTTACATTTTATGGCCCAACACAACTTTTTATTAAACCAGACTCCCTGAGTAGAATAAACCTTGCCTAACCCTGCCTGTCTTTATAAACTCTGTTCCCGGGGCGCCTGGGTGGCGCAGTCGGTTAAGCCTCCGACTTCAGCCAGGTCACGATCTTGCGGTCTGTGAGTTCGAGCCCCGCGTCGGGCTCTGAGCTGATGGCCCAGAGCCTGGAGCCTGTTTCCGATTCTGTGTCTCCCTCTCTCTCTGCCCCTCCCCCATTCATGCTCTGTCTCTCTCTGTCCCAAAAATAAATAAACGTTGAAAAAAAAATTTTTTTTTAATAAAAAAATAAAAAAATAAAAAAAAAAAAAAACTCTTTTCCCATTATTGTGATTTGGTGGACTTATTTGGCAGATGCAACTGAAGACTCTTTGCAAACTACCTGAAGATAACATGGGTTCAAAACTGACTTTTTATTTGGTAACAGTGAATTCTTGAGAAGTGTACTAAAATATTAAAGAGAGTGACCCTCTCCAGTTTCTATGTTTTACAATTTATCCCTTAGAAGAGTAACAGGTGTTAACTAATGACCTCTCGTTAGAATCATAGAAACAGATTTAGTTAATTATTCTAGAATATTTCCCTCTCGGGAAAGAAACCCCCCCCACACACGTACATATTTACACACATGCATATAGTTGAGTTATATATATATTTTTTTTATTTCAGAGCATATTAGACAATCCTCCCTGTATTCAAAGGTGATGTGCTCAAAAATCTGAGCAACCTAAGGATTAAAGATGTGGGTGTTACCTAGTTATGTAGTTTGTTCTGGTCACCCAGTCTAAGAACAAAAGCCTAGCTCATTTTTTATTGTGAAGCACAAAGGATGGAAGAAGCTAATGCCTGGGTGAGTGGCCAAGTCGCTGAATGTTTTTTGCTTTGAACTTGATCCAGCGTTATTTTGGATAACTCCTAAAGTCATACAACAGACACTCTAGCATTTGAGTGAGCTCTCACAGGTAGACAAATAGGAGAAATGAGAGAATTCTTTTGTGTGATACAGCAGATAAAAGGGCTGTTTTTGAAAGTCTAAACTGGAAAGTATCTCAGGAAGGTACTCAATCCCCTATTTTTTGGAAACAGCACCTTACTTTAGAAGATGAGTTGATGATAAAAGAGCTTTAACATCTTAAATGACAATGGTATATTAAAGATGATTATGCTTACCATTTTTATAAATGTCAAACTCATAATCATATTTTTTTATGGCTTCAAACCTCTAGGGCCTTCCTGGATCAATAAAACAGAAAAAGCTTTCTTCAGAGGTAGAGATAGCCGAGAAGAGAGACTCCAGTTGGTACAGATGTCCAAGGAAAACCCAGAGCTCCTAGATGCAGGAATTACAGGATATTTCTTTTTCCAAGAGAAAGAAAAGGAGCTTGGAAAAGCTAAATTGATAGGTTTCTTTGATTTCTTTAAGGTATGCGTTTATGTCTTCCTGTATGAATATGAAGTAATAAACTTGCATTAAAAGTCTACCAAATCACTGGGTGGGCAGATTTCTCCAGTCTTTTGAGCTGGCACACCCATACTTTCTTACTTTCTCCCTTCCAAGAATAGGGAATTAGAGCATTCATTGTGGTCTCCTTTTTGGTATTTTTGTTTTTGTTGGTTCTGTCTACCCAATGGCCAGGACTATATTTAATACTATAGTACGAGGATTAACCTGGGGTTTTGGGTGCATTTATTTATCTGTTTTTTTCTTGTTTAGACTTATTTTATAAGCTGGGACTATAAATACCTTTTACATAAAGTGATCTTAAATGCCTTTTGTAAACAGAAAGAGTATAAACTCCAAATAAGTATGGAACTATGGTACGCGTCCTGCCTCTGCCATTAACTGTGGGACCTTCATCTCTTAGCTCCCCTAAACATGCAGGATGCCTGCCTTGCTCCTTCAGAGCACTGTCATGAGTCCCAAAGGATAGAGATGTGAACAGTATGATAGAATCTGACTGGCTAGAAAACTCTTTGGTACCAATTACTTAAGAAAAAATTAATCACCAAATCTGTGAGTACATCCTGTTCATATCGGTGTGATAGAATGAAAAAAACATTGGATTTGAACTCAAAGAATAGAGGTTTATAAATTTATCTGAACACCAGTTTTCTCATTTGTAAAAAAAAAAAAAAAAAGTGGGGGGGAAGAGAGGTTATCATAATATGTGCTTCACATTATTATGATCAAGTGAGGTTTAATTCCTATGAAAAGTGATTTTGAAATGTAAACCAAGCCTTATTAATCCAGCAAATATGTAAACCGAGTACCTATTGTGTCTCAAGCCATCACACTAGTCTATGAACTTCTCCACATTGCTATGTGCTCAACTCTAAAATTGAGCTTTCTGGAGGTAACACTTTCCTTTTTCATACTTATGTAGGTATAAGGAACAAGGGAAATTAGGTATACATGAAAGTGTAAATTGTTACCAGAAGTCAGTTTTAATAAACCTAGAAAATAAAAAAAATTTTTTTCTAATGTTTATTTTTGAGAGAGACAGGGTGCAAGTGGGAGAGAGGGAGACACAGAATCAGAAGCAGCCTCTAGCTTCTGAGCTGTCAGCACAGAGCCTGACCTGGGGCTCGATCTCATGAGCCATGAGATCATGACCTGAGCTGAAATCTGATGCTTAACCGAGTAAGCCACCCAGGCACCCCAAACATAGAACTTTTGAAACATTTTCCTCCCTGGTCACAGAAATCTGAATCCCCATTACATAGAGTTGAAAAAGGTACTCCTATTTCCTAAATTATTTCCTAAAACTATTGATTATCTTATCCTTAAATACGTTATATTTCTTTTTTTTTTAAGATTTTTTTTTTTTTTGAGAGAAAAAGAGCGAGTGGGAGAGGGGCAGAGAGAAGGAAAGAGAGAATCCTAAGCAGGCTCTGTGCTATCAGTGCAGAGCCCGATGGGGGGCTCGAACTCACGAACTGTGAGATCATGACCTGAGCCAGATCAAGAGTTGGATGCTTAACCGACTGAGCCACCCAGACACCCCATTGCATTGTATTTCCTAAAATCGATGTGCTAAAGGCTGCTTATGATTTTAACACAAAGAGAAAATGTGAATTACAAAATGAAGTGTATAACTTTTAAACAGTGAAATTGGAACATGGAAAATAACTGCTTTATATTTAGTATTATGGTGTTGATGACAATCAGAAGTGAAGCAAATGGCTGTTAAATTTCTTCTTTGTTTATGTTTGTTTTAATCTTTTAGTACAAGTATCAAGTGAATGTGGATGGGACTGTGGCTGCGTATAGATATCCGTACCTCATGCTGGGTGACAGTCTGGTTCTGAAGCAGGACTCAACATACTATGAACATTTCTATATGGCACTAAAGCCTTGGAAACATTATGTCCCAATTAAAAGAAATCTTAGTGATTTACTAGAGAAAATTAAGTGGGCCAAGGTACGCTTTCTGGAGTTTTAATTTCTTGAGGTGATCACACACTTACCAATGTTATTTACATGAGTTCCATCATGATGCAATTTACCTTGACATAATTTAGTCAGAGAAATGTTATTTTCTGGAACTTTTGTTCCCTTGAAATAGCTAAGGAATCAACATTGAGGTCATTTTAATACCCTTTATCAACATTTTTGAGGATTTTTAGAAGAGTTGGAAGTCCAATGTTATATGGAATGTATATATTATATAGAATATAACAGTGTTATATAGAATATAGATTTTTCTGAAGGAATCACTATTCATGCATACACACACTAATCAAGCAAAAACACACTGAATGCAAATCGCTGATTGAAAATCCCAGGGTTAGAGTGCTTTATGCACAAGAAGACATTAAAGGCAATTACGATGCTCTTTTCTTGTTCCCAGTTAGGAAAAAGGCACAATCGATGCATGCTATACAACATCCCAAGAATTACAAGTTTTCCATAAAATATGATTTGTTTTCATATTTTTTAAAGAAAAAGTATTAAAAAGCTGTTCTGTCTTATTATGAACCTCTAGAAATTTACCCTTTCGTTATAAGATTTTGTTCTATTTCTAAGTTTCTGAGAAGCAGTGTTTGGGTATGCAAATAAGTGGGTGCCCGAGGCAGAATCATTTTTGTGACCTTTAATAAAAAGTAAGGATTGCTTACCAGTGGCTTTTCCTGTGGGCAGCAGAGTAGAGTATTAGCTATTTTCCAAAAGTATAATTAGGAATGCTGAGTGTTCCTGGTAATGAAGGAACAGCCTGCGGGTACCAATCACCAAATTTTCTATTACAGCAGTAAGATAGACTTTCACGGGTACTGCTTGGTAACAACTTTGGGGCTCTGACTGCAAACTAAAATGGGGCTCTTAAGAGATGTTAGAACATAAAAAGTGATTCATTCTACTCCAGTTTGCGTTTTAATACCAAGCAGAGAGGCTAGGCTGGGGGAACAGAGGATGAGCCCTAAATGTCCTGGGGAGCCAGGAGACACAAGAAAAGCTGCATGTTGGGTGAAGGTATGGGGCGGGAGGGGGTGGGGGGAGCTTCTGAGCCAGTGGAACGGGGTCCAAACACGTGTGACCATTGCTGTGTAACAGATGTCTAGCAAAGTACCTTGTCTATTTTTCAGAGCCTCGTTCTGAGGCTGTTTTCATCCTGTTCCGGGTCTTCCATGCTGTTCACATTTAACCCGACATCGGCCCTGCTTCACACTCACCAGTAGCCTTCTTTGGGAGGGTGGGTGGTCACAGGAGTACTTTTCATTTATCGTGTTGTTGTTTTTTTAAACCTTTCAGGAAAATGATGAAGAAGCCAAGAAGATTGCAAAAGAAGGGCAGCTGAGCGCCAGGGACCTGCTGCAGCCACACCGGCTTTACTGCTACTATTACAGAGTATTCCGGGTGAGTGCCCTCGGACCGTCCTGCCGGGAGTTGGGGGGAGCATCCTCAGACCCCATGCTGGGCCTGGGTGCCTCACTTCTTCATAGGGTTCTGAGAGTCAGTCCACGGGACTCTGGCCAAGCCGAGCACCAGCCCGCAGAAAGACAGGATCAGTGCTAAGTCTTTTTGTGGCCCCTGTATTTTTATCCCAACTCGGTATTTTGAAAAACGGTGCACCGAGCCCTTCCAAATATAGATGAAAAGCTCCCCCTACCTTGGCAGTGCTTTTATTAAGTGCCTTGTGGAATTCCTAGTTTAGGTATTTTCTGAACCTCAGAGGATATCTTTCCTCCTCTAGAAAGTAAGGGGGTTGGACTGGAGATCATGGACATCTCTTTCTGCTCAACGTGTCTGCCTCTTTGTTCTTACTACTTAAGATTCATGCTTTTGGTATCACGGGATAGGATGGCAAGCCAATAGTTAGCTTGCTGTAAAAAACAAACAAGTGAAATACATTTATTAAATTTTTTTTTAATGTTTTATTTATTTTTGGAGAAAGAGAGAGAGTGCCAGTGGGAGAGGGAGACACAGAATTGAAAGCAGGCTCTGAGCTGTCAGCACAGAGCCCAACGTGAGCTCGAACCCACAAACCGTGAGATCATGAACTGAGCCAAAGTCAGACCCGTAACCGACTGAGCCACCCCGGCACCCCAAAATGAAATATATTTCTAATGGTTCTAACACCTTAGGCCTAAAATACGGAAATGCAAGGATTGGTTCTTTGAGTAACTATCTTGTGTTTTTACACAGTAAAATCTCACCAGGAAGAAAAAAAAAAGAGAAATAATACTTCTGTTTTTAACCTAAACTTATTTTTCTGTGGGCAGAAGAAAAGTACATTTCTTCAGATGCTGGGGGATATTGTTCTCTCGTAGAAAAATTAAAATGATAAATTACACTATTTACTAAAAGTAGCCTTTCCCTTAAATGAGTTGTGCACCCTCTGTTGGTCTACCTGTAACTTGAATAGTAGGGGTTTTTCACCCTAAATTATTAAGTTGGTTCCTGTACTCGTGTCAGTATTTTTGGGGGTTGGGCCCCCCACCAGGAATGTCCAGCTCAACGTATATGGAACCACTGAACTGGAAGTCTAATTTATGGGAATATTTCAGTCAGTGGCCAAGTAGGAGGACACCACGCAGGTCTGTAGCCAAAACATATGTGGCTATGAGCCTAAAGGGAAGGGTGTGTGGGACCGCCAACTTTATTTTGAGATACATATCATCTTTATTGATTTGAGTGTTCAACACATTTAATTATTCATTCATCAGTGGAGGGTAAATGCCAAGAGGTGCTGTTATTTCAAATGGGGATGCCTGGCTTGACCGCCTTTTGTGGAGGCTTCCTACATCCACAGAAAATTATAGATTGGGGTTCCTTATTAGATTACGAAATATTGCACTTAGTACCCGTAACAACTGAAGTTGGGACTGGAATAAACCAGACGTTTGGTTGTAGTCTCAAGATACACAGCACTAGGGCGCCTGGGTGGCTCAGTCGGTTAAGCGTCGGACTTCAGCTCCGGTCATGATCTCACAGTTCTTGAGTTTGAGCCCCTCCTGGGGCTCTGGGCTGGCAGCTCGGAGCCTGGAGCCGGCTTCAAATTCTGTGTCTCCCTGCCCCTCTGCCCCTCCCTCGCTTATGCTCTGTCTCTCAAAAATGAATAAACGTTAAAAGAAAGAAATTTTTTCTAAAGATACGCAGCCACTAGGAAGGATGGCGAGTGGGGTAGGGAGGGAGGATCCAGCGGGATGACGTGGGGACTAATCTTTGAGTTGCCTTTACACGCACATTCCAGGAATATGCGGAGCGCCAGTCCAGCAAACCGGAAATACGCGACGGAATGGAACTTGTTGCTCAGCCTGATGATGACACGTCCGTGTGCCAGTGCCACCGGGAAAGACCTTCCAGAGAAGAGCTGTAAGTCAGCTCACGTTCACAGCCCTGCGTGTGTGGCCGAGGAGTTGCCTGCAAGCATTCAGATCATTCAGGTAGAGGCCACCCTGTGTGGAGCGCAGTTCAGAAGACTTAACGTGCATGGATAGAGCAGTAGGAGAGCCAGCATTACATGTGTCTTTGAGTGTTATTTTCTTTTGTGTAAAAACCGCTATCATCGGCGTCAGTTTGTTTTTTTAAAAAGAAAACTTGCGGGTCATAGTAGACAGGCTTGCCCAAATATCACTCTCTAGGAAACTGTTGGCGCCATATTTCTTGGTGTGTTCCTGCCCCTTGTTCACTTTCCCTCCTCCTCTTCCAGTTATGAAGAAGAAATGCTTGTGCAGGGTCCTTCCGTCTCATTGCGTAATTTCTTCTCCTGCAGGCTGCTTTTGGCATTCAGTAATGGCAAGCCTCCTCCTGGAAGGTCTGATAAGAACAGTTAAGGAAGGAGTGGATGGTTCCCTTATTAAAGGTAGCTTGGAGACTAGGGAGGCAGTATTGTCTTCAAGCTCACTTGGATCTTTTTAGCTAAGTTTTACCGAAGCCTGGGACAAAATTAAGGAGAAATTGTGTCGTAAGCTAGTAATTTCCAAGCTACCTGGGTGGGACACCCAGCAAGGACAACACGGTTATTAAAGTACATGAGAACATCCTATGGGAACCATTCATTATCTATCTATTGAATAGAGGGAAGATAACGATAGTCAGGTGGGGATCTTTACCACTTTTTTTTAATCTATAAAAGGATACTTGAAAACATCTGCCAGAAGCAACAGTAATAAGCCTGGTATTTTGGGAATTCACTAATATGCTGACAAGAAAGGCAAACATCCTGAATGCATCCTTGCTGTTGCAGTGGTTTTGCACTGCTCAGAAAAAAACTTTGAAATTTCCTTCTCCTTTTTTGGACGGGGTCAAGACTTAAGACTTAACGCCCAGAACTTCGTTACACGCTCCTTGTAAAACCACCCATCCAAGAGTCATTGGTCATGTCACTAATGAGCACTTCCCCAAAGCAAGAGCTATCTACCCTCCCAATCTAAAAATATTGACTCCTCTCATTGAAATATTTACTTAATCTGGAGAGCACTGTAATGTAACCACTTTAAAGTAGTCATATCTTTTTCTGAAGGTCAATAAGAACACAGAATTGTGTAACTAGACAAAAGCAAAACCATATTTAAGAGCAGTGTAACCAAAGCCAAGTATCCAAGGAAAACCAATACCCACCAGTTGTTCCCAAGTACACGGTCACAGGGCAAGCTGTACTGGGACCATAACCTAATGAATCCATGTCCTGTATATATTGTACCCGGAGTTTGGGGTTTGTCAAGGCCGAGATTATGGAAAGAAAATTTGCCCTCCCTCATACCTCCCTGCCCACCAACCCCTGCTCCTTCCTTGTGGCTGATGGCATCTTGTTCAAAACATCTTAAATTTTTTAAATATCTATCACCAGCTGCCAAACAAGACTGAGAGTGAAAAGTGAACTGAGATACATCAGGCAGCCTCTGAGCATGGAACAGAGAGGATGTATTTAAGAAATTAAGTGGAGCCCTCAAAGTTAGCTTAAATGGTTTTCTGATTTGTTGACATGAACATAACCTAATAAAGTAGTTTTACTAAAACCATGATTTTTCCCTTCGAATTCACACATTACCCACATAATCCATTATCATTTTTAATACTTCAACTTTCATTTAAAAAATCTGATATTTCAAAGAAGAGGACTGTAAGGATGTGCAAGTAAATATAGTAAGTGCATTTGTCTAAATAAGCTGCCAGGGTATTTGTTGCAGCACTGTTTTTATTAGTAAAATGTTGGAAACACCTTGAATAGCTTTCATGAAGGAACTGGCCAAATAGATAATGATATATAAAGGAATATAATACAACCATTAAAAAGAATGAAGTATCTCTAAACATACTATCATGAAAGATTTCCATTACAGTATTCAGTGGAAAAAGTAAGTTACAGAACAGCATGTATAATGTGAAACCATGAATGTAAAAAACAAAAATATGTTTGTATGGTTGAAAGTTTGGAAAGATTTTATTTACCAATATCTGAAGGGACGGAGAGAAGGGAATTTTTACTTTTTGCTATATACCTATGATATTTGTTTTTGCCGCAAGTATGAATTAGACTATAAAATAAAGAAAAATGTAAACCTAGGAAAAGACTGTAAGTGCACAAAAGATATATATAAGAAAATGGATATTTATATTTTCCATTATGCTGTTTTTAAGTCTACTATGTCTAGAATTTTGTATCATGGGACATATTTTATACACTTTTAAATAAAATAAATTTTCTAAATAATATTTTGAAAAAGACAACTTTTGTTTTGAAGAAAGTGGGGCGCCTGGGTGGCTCAGTCAGTTAAGCGACGACTTAGGCTCAGGTCAAGAGTTATCAGAGCCCTGCCTTGGGCTCTGTGCTGACAGCTGGGAGCCTGGAGCCTGTTTCAGATTCTGTGTCTCCCTCTCTCTCTTCCCCTCACCCCTTCTCTCTCTCCCTCTCCCTCTCCCTCTCTCAAAAATAAGTAAATATTAAAAAAAAAAAAAAGATTGTAACAACCTATAGCCCTGGTATTTCTGCAACTGGGTTGGTCTCATTATAATTTTATTGTGTCTTTATGAGTGAATGAACCCAAATTTATATCACCACCACTCAGTCCCTAGTGGGATTTCCCTAATATTAGGGGGAAAGAAATTTGGGCTTGACACCATTATTTTTCTGATTCCAGGTTAAAATAACAAGCAGTGCAATGTCTTAGTTTAGGTCGTCATTATACTGGTTTAGTTGTTATACTGGTTTAGTAAGTTATACACGACTTACTGTAGTGATCACTTAGCAATAAATATATACACGTACGAAATCATGTTGTACACCTGAAACTAATGTATATGTCAATTATACCTCAAAAAAATAAAACAGGTTTAGGATTTACCGGCTAAAGAGCTTACATTTAGAAATCTCATTAGATTACAAACACGTGTCACTTTTTGATCCTGAGCACTAGATGCCAAATCGCTAGAAGGATCAGTTTTCTTATTTACAAATGAATAAATGACTTACATATGAAAGCTTTTGTGTATTTCTCCCACATCCTTAAAGCCCTTGGTGGCAGTGACCAGGCTTTATAATAAGTTTAGCCCCAAATCGCGGAAATGCACTGTGGTTTCTCTTTCAAAATGCTTTGCCTCAAAGCCTTTAACAATCGCAACGAGAACAGGTTCAACTAGCCTCACGTTTTTTTCGTTTTTGGATACGCGGAAGACGGAGGCGCGGCCGGGGGGTGGTGGAGGAGGGAAGATCGGCGCTGAGGGGCGGGGCCTCGGGGGGGGGGGGGCCGAGGGACAGACCGGGGCGGGGCCTTGAAACAGGCCAGAACGGAAGCAGAGGTGCGTAGCTTCCGTTTGCAGTGCTAACGAGAAGTTCTGCGGAGCCAGGTACAGCGGCGTAAAAAGGTGAAGGGAAGCTTGTACCCCTACCGTGTGTGCCCATGTCACAGCTGGTCTCTCGTCACTGTAGCCTCTGCTCTAAGACCACCCTTGTCCAGCGCCCTAAAGCGCCCCCCTCCTTGCGCTTAAGTTCCGCTCCCCAGCCGACCCCCGTAAAAACGTTTGGTCTCCCTGAAGCCCCCCTATCGCCGGGCCTCCAGCCTCCGGTTTCCAGCGCTGCCCACGATTGAGCCCTGCGTCCTCGGCTCGGTCTCGGGGAACTCGCGCGGCCCTGGCTGACGCGGCTCCTGTTCGGCCTACAGCCTCACGGTCCCCGATCCTCGCCCCTCCGCGGAGACGCGGTTTCGTCTCCCTGGAGGCCGGGGGCGAAGTACTTGTTAACCCGCCTCACCTTTTTTCCGTTGTACCGGTGAAATGGTTTTCGTTATGTAGAGATGGAAGAGCGTCTGCCCTCCTCCGCCCTCGGCAGAAAGCACAGGAAAAAAGGAAGAGCGAAATTACAAAACTGAGAAAGGTCCTGAAACACCTTGGTTTATTCATTAAAACAAGATAAGAGGTTCCGATCCCAGCAAATTAACTTTAGTACTCTTTCCCAGCTTTTAAAGTAAGTGGAACTGAGAATTCAGAGACTTATCTTGTTGGCTTTTTCTCATGAAGATAAAAGACTAGTGGAGCCATAATCGATTTAATAAAAATTATCACCGAGTTGGGGTAGACAAAAACCTTCCATTTCTGAATCTGTAATTGGAAGCTGGTGTAGTAAATTCCTTCATTACTTGAGCAGTGGTTTTATAGTACTTTCTAGTGTCTTACAATGTATGCAGTGTTTTCAGGTTGGTGCATTTATTTAGAGCCTTGTAGTAACCCTGTGAAAGCAGTATCACTTTTTATCTAAGGCCACCAGCTGTCCCTACCCCCTTTCTTGACTCTTAAACCTCCTCCAAAGACTTTTTGCCACCCTTCAGTTTATCCCTTTTGCACTTAAAATTTCTCCCTCACTATGGGATCATACCTAATAACATTTTAATATGCTTTAATGTCTGTCCTATTAAAAAAAAAAAAAAACAGGGGCGCCTGGGTGGCTCAGTCGGTTAAGCGTCCGACTTCAGCCAGGTCACGATCTCGCGGTTTGTGAGTTCAAGCCCTGCGTCAGGCTCTGTGCTGACAGCTCAGAGCCTGGAGCCTACTTCGGATTCTGTGTCTCCCTCTCTCTCTGCCCCTCCCCTGTTCATGCTCTGTCTCTCTCTGTCTCAAAAATAAATAAATGTTAAAAAAAAAAAACAAAAACCACCCTGGGAATCCATTCCTGCCCACCAGCTGTTGCTCTGTATCTGCTTTTTTTTTTTTTCAATGTTTTTATTTATTTTTTAGAGAGACAGACTGAGCCGAGCAGGGGAGGGGCAGAGAGAGGAGAAAACAGAATATGAAGCAGGCTCCAGGCTCTGAGCTGTCAGCACAGAGCCCAACATGGGCTTGAACCCATGAACCATGAGATCATGACCCAAGCCAAAGTCGGACACTCAGCCGACTGAGCCACCCAAGCGCCCCTGTAGCTTCTTGACAGAATTCTAAGCACTCGTTCCTGTACCTGCTGTCTGGATTTGGCCTCTTCCTCCACCCAATCCCTGGCCTTCTTCCTTGCTACTCAGCTGAAAACAGTACTTCTCAAGGTTACCAGCAACTTTATCTGGCCAAATCTAGTTCTTTATTGTTAATTTACTTGACCCTTCAGCATTTGATGCAGTTGAGCACGTTCCGTTCCTTGAAATATGTGGGATATCATCACTCCTCTGTGGTGTGACTGGTTTCCGAATCATGTTAATTACAAATACTGGAAGATACTGTGTCAGTATTTTGTGCTATTCCTGATGTAATGGTGACCTATACAACACGTTTATAAATTTAGTGTCCGTTAACATTTTCAATACCACTTTGTTAAATCTAGACAACCAGCAGAACAATAAATCAAGTCCTGGTTTATAGTTTTTGTCAATTTCTGTGATGAAAATAGCCTGGCCATGACCAATTTCGAGACAGCGAAATGACCTCAGGTATTGGGAAGACGTGTGGTAGTGCACCATGACATTATTTACACCACGCGTATACCGATAGACAACATACGGAGACTAGTAGTTCTCAACTACAGGTGGTTTTGCTCCCCAGGGGACATTTGGCAGTTTCTGGAGACATTTTCGGTTGTCACAACTGTGCTTCCAGCGTCTGGTGGGTAGAGTACAGAGATTGTGCTCAACATCCTACCACATATAGGACAAGGCCCACAACAAAGAATCCAGCCAAAGTTGTCAGTAATGCCGCTGCAGTGAATGTAAATAACCTCAAGAAGTAAACAGTAAAATGTAGCGTAGGAAAGGAAAAAACTTTTTCTCTACTATTTTAAGTTTTAAAATTGAGACCCGCACATTAAACTGACAAAAGACAGATTGACCAGAGAAAAGACAAATATTTTATTTGATGTTAATATTTCAATTTTACATGCATATGGGGGTCTCACAGAAAAGGAATTAAAAACCCAAAGAGGACGTTAGACCCGGGGATTTATATACCATTTTAACAAAGAGTGATGAAAGGAGTTTGGGTCTGTAGAGGTAGTAAATTGTGGGAAGGTAAATATATTGGAGAAACTATTAAAAGGTAGGGGTTATTTTAGTTAGATTTGTAAAGACCTGTGTCAGTGTCAACTTTTTGTGTCTGGTGATGGTTATTTTTCTCCTATTGGGATGGGAAAGCGGAGAGGCAACACCTTTGCAAAGGCAAATTTGTGTCCTGCTTTTAAACAGGTGGGAAGGATAGAGAGATTTTCCTGCCTCTGTTCTTTCTAGATTGCCTTCAGCTCTAAATAATTCTTATGCAGGGGCACCTGGGTGGGTCAAGTCAGTTAAGCGTCTGACTTCGGTTCAGGTCATGATGTCACAGTTCATGGGTTTGAGCCCTGCGTCAGGGTCTGTGCTGACAGCTCACAGCCTGGATCCTGCTTCAGATTCTTTGTCTCCCTCTCTCTGTCCCTCCCCGACTCACACTCTGTCTCTTCTCTCTCTCTCTCAAAAATAATAAACGTTAAAAAATAGTCCTTGTGCCAGAGTGGCATGTTTTCAGGTGGTGTATTACGGTCCCCTGTAATAGTAAGATCACTGGTAGGGGATACATTTTGAGTATGAGTTAACTTCATTTTACTCTAAGTTTAAATAATCTTTAGTAGTCCCTGTATTTAAAAACCAGCTCACAAAATTCCTGAGCGTTTAAATTTTGGTTCCACGCAGCCAGTACAAGCTGTGGTGCACTGTCCAAACCAGTAGTTGATAGTCCACTTCCCGCCTGATTATAGTGCGGCTCCTGGTACCTCTCTCAACTCCCCCCCCCCCGCCCCCCCCAACTTCTGCCTCTTCTCAAAGCTCCAGCAATACTGCTTGCTTGCTTTCAGCCACTTGAACACACCAAGCTCTTTTATCTCAGGGCGTTTTTATCTTCTCTGCCTAGAACAGTCTCCTGCAACTGTCCTGTCTCTTTGCATCTTGAAAATTAACGTCTTCTTAATAGAGGGGCCTTCCCTGACTACTTGTGCCAACATAGCCCTGATCATTTTTCATCCCGCTATTCTGTCTTTATTGCACGTGCATTTCCTTGAGTTTTTACCTCCATATTTTAAATAACATGTTAGTCTACTTGTTTTGTATTTGTTAGAAGATTTTATTATTTTTTTTTTCAACGTTTATTTATTTTTGGGACAGAGAGAGACAGAGCATGAACGGGGGAGGGGCAGAGAGAGAGGGAGACACAGAATCGGAAACAGGCTCCAGGCTCTGAGCCATCAGCCCAGAGCCCGACGCGGGGCTCGAACTCCCGGACCGCGAGATCGTGACCTGGCTGAAGTCGGACGCTTAACCGACTGCGCCACCCAGGCGCCCCTAGAAGATTTTATTTTTAACTAATCTCTGTACCCAACATGGGGATCAAACTCCCAACCCTGAGATCTAGAGTTTCATGCTCTACTGACTGAACCAGCCAAGTGCCCCTGCTCTTGGTGTCTTTTCTTTATTTTTATGGTTTGTTTATTTTTGAGAGAAGGCGGGAGAGGCGCTGAGAGGCGGGGACAGGGGATCCAAAGTGGGCTCTGAGGTAACAGCAGAGAGTCTGATGCAGGGCTCGAACTCACAGACTGTGAGATCGTGACCTGAGCCAAAGTTGGATGCTTAACCCACGTGCCCCCTTGGTGTCTTTTAGATTTGGTTATTATCTGGTAACTTCCTGTGGCAAACCTCTTGGACCGAAGTGCCACGACACACATATTTACGCATACTCATCCTCTCCCCTCATCTTCCTGATTAAAAACACAACAAGAATCCTGCCATCATACTAGGTAGGCTTAAGAAATTTTAATTGCATACAATATAAGCTTGAGTTGTTCCAAAGTCAGCCTGCTTTGGAGACAGGAGCCAGTCGCCAATCATGTGATATTCAAATTCATATTATCATGGGTGGTATTATCGTAGGCTATATAATTATGGGGTATTACTGTTGTAATGCCAGTAGAGTTAGTACTAATATTTACATAGTTATGACTGTATAATTACTCATGGCGGAGCCAGAGCGATAGCTTAGTTTTTTAGTTTCCTTTTGCCACCAGTTGGAGAGACACTTAAGAAAACACAAGACAGGTGATGTTGCTCCTCTGGTGTAACCCTCCCCACAGCCACCCGTCACACTTAAAATTCTCACTTCCCAGGATTCAAGGTCCTGTAGGACCTGTGATCCCACTCCTCCTCTGCCTTTATCTCCCACGTCTTCTCTGTCTCTGGCCACAGTCACACTGGCCTTCGTCCTGTCCCACCTTCCTGTTCTCAGTGCCTTCACTCCTGCTGTTCTGTCTACGGAGTTCTTGGGGTGTGAGAATGACCCCCTCCATTTCATTCAGCTTTGTGCTCAAGCCAGTAACAAATTAATATGTAGAACTTTTAGCTTTCTTTATCATCTGTTGTATAATTCACTTC